TTCTAAACCCCTCAAAGTGAATGAAAGAGTGAGACCAGGAAATGCACAGCTGATTTGTGCATCGTTTAGTGCAGGAGGACATTTCCTGGCAGTGGGAGGAGCTGACCATTTTGTCAGGTAGGAAGCATCCCAGTTGAACCCAAAGTTACATGTGATCATTCAGTCATTATGGTTTCAGTTAATACCAAAGTTGCATATGATAATGCAATAAATATGGTTTCAATTAATACCAAAGTTACATATTATACCGTAGTCAATATAGTTTCAATTAACACCTTGTAATAACTTTTAATTTCTTTTATGTACAGAGTATATCATCTTGGTGGAGAAGATGGAGTAGAGAAGCTCATTGAGACAGAGCGGCATCAGGACCGTGTTGATAGTATCCAGTGGTGCCACAAAGGATTGATGTTTGTGTCAGGCAGTCGTGATGGTACAGCACTTGTATGGCGCTACGAAACACAACAGTGGAAGAACCTCGTCTTGAATATGACTGACAGACTTCCTGGGTGAGTGTGTTTGCTATGATTCTGCTTAACTGCGTGAGATCAGGAACTCTTTATTTATTCTGTCAACAGACATAGAATAGCAGTTTTAAACCGAGTAAACTGAAAGATTGTATTTACCAATAGGAAGGAGAAGTGGAAAAGGGAAGAAACTAGCAGTTGAAAAAGATTAAAAAAAAAAAAAAAAAAATCTGAAAAGATACTTTTCTATTTTTACTAATGCAAGAAGTCCTTTTATGCAAATAACCTTTCAAAAATGTAAAGATGTTTCTGAAATAAAAACTTTTTGTTTGTTTTGTTTTTGGTGTAAAACTATCCAATCCATTTTTACAGGGACAGTCCTCCATCTGAAGAGATACGTCGGCTCCAAGTAACAATGGTAGGATGGAACAGGAGTGATGAATATGTCATCACAGCTAGCAATGACAAGTGGTTGCGAGTGTGGGATAGTAGCCAAGGCAAGCTTAAACATATTCTCAGGGGCCATGAGGATAACTCCTATGTGATTGAGGCACATCCCCTCGAAAATAATATTATCCTGACTGCAGCTCATGATGGTAAGGAGCTTTAATTGTGATATATAGGAAGCCTTTCATTTTATGTATAGTTGTTTTGAGGTGCATCTGTGTATGTATAAGTGAAGAAAATATTTGTGTTGTTGATAGGCTGCAATGGTAATGTTTCAGTTTGGAAGAACTGGGTAGGAAGCCAGTCTAAATGTTTATTTCTCATAAATCCCAAACATAAGAATTTAAGTTCTGTTTTTTGTGTGGGTATGGGTGTTTGGAAGGGTGGATGGGTGGATGGGTATCTGTACATGATTCTATAATGTAACATTTCAAAAAAAGTATTATCATCAGGATGCAGAGAATATGTTTAGTTGAAATTATTTCCATGTTTGAATATATACTCAGTTTGTCAGTAATGTACTCCAGTGCGAAGAAATGTCAGATTTAGAGACATTCTTCACATGCTATAACAATGTCACAAGCTAGAGCATGGCACTTTGTCAATTATCACATTTGTAATTACTATTACAGGTCAATTGATGATCTGGGATATCAGCACAGGAACTCTGGTGAGAAGCTTTAAAAATACCATTGAAGGCCAAGGTTATGGTGCATTATTTGATGCCAAGTGGTCACCTGATGGTTACACTATAGCAACAACAGATTCTCATGGACATCTCATTCTCTTTGGTATTGGACACAATGAGAAATTCAAGAAGGTATTGTTAAGAAAGTAGATTTTGTTTTGATACCACTATAGTATTACAGCATTGGTTCTCAACCCTTTGACCTCCATGGAGCATGTTTCTATGAAAATTTAATAAGGTGGTATAGGCATGATAGGAAGTAGCCTTTTTGACATTTTATACAGTAGGATGTAATTTTGTGATTATTCAAACATATATGAGCTTTTGATATTAAATTATTTGATAGTCCAGGTTTACATTGCTACAAATGATTATTAGAAACCAATAGAAATTAATTGGAACAGTTTTTAGGAGGTAGAAAATGTTAGTACATAGAATAAACTGAACAGAGTCATTACAGTTTTGGTCATTATGTCATAACCCCCTAGCAATTCTCTTTACCCCTCTTGGGGCTCTGCCAAGGGGTTGTAGTGAGGGAGGCTTCAGAATCAGTTCCTCTGACTTACCCTTTATCTTTTTTTCTTTATTCATCATTGAGCTCTCCTGGCTTCTCTTTCCCTTTCTACAAGTTCCTTTTAAACTGAAATTGGACATGTTGCCAAAAATGTATACATGTGGGTCTTGGGGTCTGCAGACCACACGACTAAGGGGATCTAGCAAGCGAAGCTTTAAAATAAATTTCTATCATTTTTTTTGTTCATTCATTCTTGATTTTGTCATGCCTCCTTCCTTTTAACCTGATACTGGACAGAAATGTTCACAAGATTTGTATGCATGCCTATATGGAAATATATAGATATCTGTGTGCAATGAAAATGTTGCATTTACTTATTCCTAATTGTAATATCCTCTATTTCTTTCTGTTTAGATACCAAAAGAGCTTTTCTTTCATACGGACTATCGGCCTCTTGTGCGAGATGCCAATAACCATGTGCTGGATGAGCAGACTCAGATGGCACCACACCTCATGCCACCCCCATTCTTGGTCAACATGGATGGTGACCCATATCCTCCCGAATACCAGAGGCTTGTACCTGGTCGAGAAAACTGCAGACATGACCAGCTTATTCCAAATGTTTTATTGAATGCAAATGGTGAGTGTGTGTGGTGGTTATCAGTGCATTGATAAGCAAGAAATAAAGATCACAGGGTGGGAAAAAATCAAATGCCAAGGGTACAGACATTTTGGGCCTATTAATTTTTAGCTCATGTTTTGGCATAATTTTTTCTAGCATGTTTCCGCATTTTATATTTGTCCTAGAATCTCATTGGGAAAAA